GTTCAAGTCCTTTGCCCACTTTTTAAGGGGGTTATTTGATTTTTTCTTCCTAATTTTCGTGAGTTCTAAGTATATTCTAGTTATCAGTCCCTTATCGGATGCATAGGATGCAAAAATTTTCTCCCATTCTGTAGGTTGTCTGTTTACTTTCATGACTATTTCTTTGGCTGTGCAGAAGCTTTGTAGTTTGATCATGTCCCATTTATTTATTTTTGTTGCTGCTGTGATTGCCTTTGGGGACTTCTTCATAAACTCTTTGCCAGGCCGATGTCTAGGAGAGTGTTTCCAACTTTTTCCTCTAGAGTTCTAATAGTTTCATACCTTAGGTTTAAGTCTGTTATCCAGCGTGAGTTGGTTTTTGTGAGAGGTGAAAGGTGTGGGTCCTGTTTTAGCCTTCTACAGGTGCTACCAGTTTCCCAACACCATTTATTGAAGAGGGATTTTTCCCAGCGTATGTTTGTTGCGTTGTCAAAGTTAGATGGCTATATGAGGATGGTTTTATATCAGGATACTCCATCTGTTCCACTGTCAATATCTTATTTTTGTGCAATACTATTTTTGTTTTTTTTTTTTTTTTTATTTATTTTTTGAGACAGAGTCTCACTTTTTTGCTAGGCTAGATGTGTGCCGTGGCGTAGCCTAGCTCCAGCAACCTCAAACTCTAGGCTCAAGCGATCTCCTGCTCAGCCTCCGGTCTGGACTACAGGCACGAGCCACCAATGCCGGCTGATTTTATTTATATATATTAGTTGGCCATTATTTCTTTCTATTTTTGATGGTAGAGACGGGGTCTGCTCAGGCTGGTTTTAACTTCCTGACTTGAGCAATCCGCCCGCCTCGCCTCCCAGGTGCTAGGATTACAGCATGAGCCACGCGCCGGCACCATATTGTTTTAATTAATACAGCTTGTAGTATAGTTTAATATCTGGCATATTAATGCCTCCATTTTGTTTTTGTGCCCAGAATTGCTCTTGATATTCGGGTCTTCTTGGTTCCATACGAAGCGTAAAAGTATTTTTCTATATCTGTGAAGAATGCTGATGGGATTTTTAATAGGTATTGCATTGAATCTGTAGATCAGTTTGGGTAGTATAGACATTTTGATGATATTGAGTCTACCGATCCACGAGCATGGTATGGATTTCCATCTGTTTACATTCCTGCTATTTCCTTCCTCAGTGTTTCGTAGTTCTCCCTGTAGAGTCTTTTTCTCCTTGGTTAAGTATATTCCTAGGTACTTTAATTTCTTGTTGCTATTGTGAAGGGAATTGAGTCTTTGATTTGTTTCTCAATGAGATTGTTGTTGGCGTATATGAATGCCTCTGATTTCTGTGTATTGATTTTGTATCCTGAGACTTTACTAAATTCATTGATCAGTTCCAGGAGTTTCTTGGTTGAAACCTTGGGGTTTTCTAGATACTATTCATATCATCATCAACAGTGAAAGTTTGATCTCTTCTGCCCCTATTTGGATACCTTTGATTCCATTTTCCTGTCTGATTGCTGTAGCCAAGACTTCCAGTACTATGTTGAACAGAAGTGGAGATAGTGGGCAGCCTTGTCTGGTTCCAGTTCTAAGGTGGAATGATTTCAATTTTTCCCCATTCAGTATGAAGTTGGCTATGGTCTGTCATATATGGCTTGTATGATTTTTAGGTATGTCCCTTCTATGCCTATTTTCTTAAGTGTCGTATCATGAAAGGGGTGTTGATTTTGTCAAAAGCTTTTTCTGCATCTATTGGAAGAATCATGTGGTCTTTGTTTTTGCTTCTGTTTATGTGGTGAATTGCATTTATAGATTTACGTATGTTGAACCATCCCTGCATCCTGGGATGAGCCCACTTTGGTCATGGTGGATTATTTTTTGATAAGATGTCTTGATTCGGTTAGCTAAGATTTTGTTGAAAATTTTTGCATCTATATTCATTAGGGATATTGGTCTGTAGTTTTCTTTTTTGTTGCATCCTTTCCTGGTTTTGGTATCAGAGTAATATTTACTTCATAAAAGGTGTCTGGGAAGGTTTCCGTTCTTCTCGATGCTGTGGATAGTTTCTGCAAGATAGGTATAGTCTTCTTTTTAAGTATGGTAAAATTCAGTGTTGAAGCCATCTGGACTGGGACTTTTCTTTTTAGGAGATTTTTATTGCTGTTTCTATTTCAGCTGTTGAGATTGGTCTGTTCAGGGAATCTATTTCTTCCTGGTTGAGCCTAGGGAGGCTGTGTGTTTCTAGAAATTTGTCCATTTCCTCCACATTTTCCAGTTTGTGTGCATAAAGATTTTTGTAGTATTCATAAATTGTATCTTGTATCTCTTTGGGATCAGTTGTGATATCTCCTTTTTTATTCCTGATGGAGCTTATTAGAGATTTCTCTTTTCTGCTTTCGTTAGTTTAGCCAATGTGTGTGCAATTTTGTTTATTTTTCAAAGACCACACTTTTTGTTTTATTATCTCCTGAATAGCTTCCCTGTTTTCAATTTCATTTAGTTCTGATTTGATCTTGTTGATTTCACTTTTCTGCTGGGTTGGGTTGGTCTGTTTTCTTTTTCAGCTCTTTGAGTCGTTTCATTAGATTGTCTATTTGTGATCTTCTTGTCTTTTGGTTATAGGCATTTAGGAGATAACTTTCCTCTCAGAACTGCTTTAGCTGTGTCCAGAGGAGTGATAACTTGTCTCTCCATTGTCATTTTCTTATGAACTTTTTTATTTCCGTCTTGATTTCTTCATTTACGAGTATCATTTAGTAGGAGGTTGTTTAATTTCCACGTTTTTGTGTAGAAATGTGAGTTTCTGTTAGGGTGATTTGCTATTTTATTCACTGTGATCTGAGAGTACATGGTATGATTTCTATTTTTTTAAATTTCTTGAGATTTTCTTTGTGTCCTAGGATATGGTCAATCTTAGAGAATGTCGTGAGCTGATGAGGAAGAACGTATATTCAGTGGATTTGGGTAGAATGTTCTGTAGATGTCTGTCAGACCCAATGTGTCTAGAGTTTTGTTTAAGTCCATTATTTTTTCTTTATTAATTTTCTGTTTGGAGGATCTGTCTCGTGCCGTCAGGTGGGGTGTTGAAATCTCCAGTGATTATGGAGTTGCTATTAATCCATTTGCTTAGCTCCAGTAAGGTTTGCTTTCTGATCTGGGTGCACCTAAGTTGGGTGCATATATATTTAAAATTGTTTATCTCTTCTTGTTGGCTGTGCCCTTCACATTATATAATTGACCCTCTTTGTTTTCACTACTTTTGTTGGTTTAAAAACTAAATCGTCTGAATTTATGGACTGCCACACCAGCCTTCTTTTGGCTTCTATTTGCTTGGAATGATGGACTCCACCCTTTTATTTTAGTCTATATGCATCCTTGCAGGTTAGATGTGTTTCCTGAAGACAGCATATACTTGGCCTGTATTTTCTTATCCATTCAGCCAGCCTATGTCTCTTGAGTGGAGAGTTTAAGCCATTCACATTTATTGAGAGAACTGATAGGTAAGGTAGATTACTGATCCTTCTGTTGGTGGATTGGATGTTGTTGCTATGATTTCTGTCTTGAGCCATTTGTATATCTGGCCTTTAATATCTTTGGGTTTTGGTTGTTTTATATTCGTGGTTATTATTATGATGTTCCGTGCATAACGCTGTTTTAGTACTTCTTGTAGGGCTGGTCTTGTCTTGGTGAATTCTCTGAGCCTTTGCTTGTCTGGAGATGTTTTATTTCTCCTTCATATACGAAGCTTAGTTTGCAGGAATAATATTCTAGCTAGGGCATTGTTTTGTTTCACAAAAGAGTGAGAAATGGGGCCCAGTCTCTCCTTGCTTGTAAAGTCTCATTAGAGAAGTCTATGTTATTCGAATTGGCTTTCCCTTGTATGTCTTGCTTCTTTTGTCTTACAGTCTTAGAAGGGCTTCTTTAGTGATACTTGGTCAGGTCTGATGACTGCATGTCATGACATCTTCCTGTTTGCATTGAATCTCCCAGGGGGTCCTCTGAGCTTCTTGAACTTGTATATCAAAGGATTTTGAGCAAGGCCTGTGGAACTTTTCCTCTATTATATCTTCAAACAGCTTGTCCAACCCTTGAGTGGTTGTCTTTCCCTTCTTGTAACCCTATGACCCTCACATTGAGTTTCTTCACATATCCCACAGCTCTTGTAGGCTTTGCTCTTTTCTCTTGTTTCTCTGCTCTATTTCTGTGACTGATTTATTTAATTGGAGGGTGTTATCTTCAAGCTCTGAGATTCTTTCTTCTGTTTCTTCTACCCTGTTCTTGAGACTTTCCACTGTATTTTATAGTTCCTTGAATTGATTCTTCATTTCCAGGTGTTCGGTTACACTTTTCTTCATTGTGTCTATTTCTTTTCCCATATCCTGGAGGCTTTTTGTGGTTTCTTTGTGTTGGTTATTGAGTTGTTGTTGCAGCTGGGTGAGTGTTCTTATGATCCACATACGAAATTCCTCTTCTGTCATATTGTTTGCCTGATTTTTTGGTGTCCGTTTCGTAGGGCTGGTGTCCTCTTTGGGGTGTGTTTTCCGTGGTTCTTCATATTTCCTGAGTCTTTCGCTGATTTCTTCCCATTTGATCAGTTGTTGTTTCTTTCTTAGGTTATGTTTTGGGTATTCACACACCTTGTTTAATTTCTGAGTCGTTTAGGTGGGTGTCTGTGGGTGAAATTGGACCACTCCCTGGTATATTTGAGTCACTGGGTGCGTGGAAAGGCTATGCAAGATGCCGTCCCTGTCAGTAGGTGGCGTTGCTGTTGAGGAACAGGCTATACTGTTGATTTTGTGTGCTGTTAGCAGCTCTTGTTCTGGGCGGAGCTGGGTTGGTAAGCCTGCCCTCAGGCCGTTAGCAGGGTCAAAGTTCTGTTTTCTGCTTCCAGGGAAGCTGTCAGGGCTGGGCGTGGAATGGTCCCGCTCAGCCAGAAAGTCCTTGCCGCTGGTCTCCGGGCTGCTCCGCGTGGTCTCAGCCTCCAGTTCTCCTCCGCAGCTCTCCGAGTGGGAGGGTCTCCCAGGGTCTCAGGTACCCCTCCTTCCGGCCCTTGTCCGCTGTATGCTCGTCTTCTTGCTTCTTTCCTCTAATTTCTGCTAGAATCTGTCTTTACTGCAGAGACACTCTGTCTGGTGGTGTTATTTGTCCGCCCTCTTGCTCCGCCCCCTGTAGCATAATTTATTTAAGAAGTTTCCAAATAAGGAACACCTTGTGCCGTTTTCCCCCCCCCACTTTTGTAGGAATATCTTCCAACAATGAACACCTTTGTATATATATCTTGGCAAAAAAATATTTTGTGAAAATGACCATCAGGTAAATTTTTAGCAGTGATAGTGGATATGGATTTTTTTTGGAGGGGGGAGATGATAAAATGTTCTAAAATTAGGTTGTGGTGATTGTTGCACAGCTCTGTGAATAATATACTATAAATCATTGAATGGTACACTTTAAATGAATGAATTTTATGTCATGTGAATTATATCTCACAAAGTTGTTTTAAAAATTTCTAGCAGTGGAAGTGGTCTGAGGGCATGTGCGTTAAAATGTTTGCAGTCATTTTTATAATTAGAAAGGTGCACGTTCAGCTGTGTCCTCACCAGTACCACTCTCTGCCTTCTTGCTCGGGCTCATGTCATGGCGGTCCCTTATGTGCTTAAAGGAGTCCTCTTGTGCCTCAGGGCCTGGGGCAGCTCTCCTGGAGATATCTGGTCTCTAGAGAGATAGCATCTTGGGTCTGCACTGCTTTTGTTGGCCCAGCCATAGCTACTTGGTGGCGTGACCCAGGCTGAGGGTCTTCCCTTAGCATGTTTTGTAGATCAGGAGGTGGAAGGTGTTGTTCCACCCATGTGATGAAGCTGGCGCAGTCTGTGCGTGGGCACATCTCTTATCCACAGCAGTTACTGCCCTGGGGCATGAGAGGGTGCAGCTCTGTCCTGCCACAACCAACTCCCCAGGACTGGAATGATTCCATTTGTATTAATCTCACCTCTTTGGATGACATTTAGTCACCTAATTAAGGGTTACATCACACTTCTTTTATATCTCCTGCACTGTCCGACACACTTCGCTACTAAAAATGCTTTCACCTGTATTATCTCATTTAATCCTCACAACAAGCCTGTGAGATTTATTATACTATTCCCATTTTGCAGATGAGGGGACCGGGGTGAGCACTGGATACCTGTCAGGTCACACAGTCATTAAACGCACAGATGCAGGCTGCCAACACAGACCTCCCTATGGCAGGTCCCCTGTTGGCAGCCCCATTGCCCTGATGGCGTCATTAGCCACACAGAAGGTGTCCAGTGAAGTGTGCTGGGTTGACCAGGCTCTGAGTTTTATCTTTCTTGATTCAGAGCAGATGCCTGAGGTGACTTGAGAGGGAACATGTTAAGTGGAATTTCAAGGGAGGCGGAGATGCCCTACAAATGAACCTCACCCCCTACCTCATCGCCATTCCCTTGAAGCCACTGCTTTTTCTCATAGCTTAACACTAAGTTGTTTCAATTTACTTATTCACCAGGTGAGGAAGGAAGGAAGTGGGAGATGAGAGGAACATTTTCATACAAAGACGTTAAGAAATTATATCCCAGCCTCCATGTATGTGTATGAATGTTTGCTTATGCTTGTGTGAACGTGGAGAAGGGAGTGGAAGGACCCACACCAGACTGTTAACGTGGGTGACCTGGTGGCTGCAGGTGGGGGAGACAGGTGGGGAGGGCAACATCCCCCTCCACTGATGAAACAAAGCAGAACAAAAAAGAAAACTCTTTAAAAATGTGTCTATAACTAAACAGCACATATAAAATGATCCCAACTGTGTGATATTACATAGACACGTGTGTGTATGCCTAGAGAGGTGTAGCAAAGGATATTAACAAAATACTGATGGCCTCGTCTCTGCATGGTGGGCTTCCAGGTGATGTTTTTTTCTTTGAACCTATTGTACCATTAAAATTTTTTTCACAATAACAATCAGCCCATATTATTTATATAATTACCAACAACGCAATAAGGCTATTTTTCATTGAGAAAAAATATTGGCCACTAAAAATATATTTGAATAATTTTCTTTGAAAGGAGGTGCTCTAAGCAGCCATCTATGTGGTTAGATGTTTATGAGGCTTGTCCAAGCCTGTGTCCTGTGGAGCCCTGAGTGGTGTTGCTGGTTCCTAAACTGGGAAGACTTGGAGATTTAGGAGTCACCTACAGAAATGCCTTGTTAAGATACAGATTTTACCAGGTGGGTACAACTTGTTAATCTCTGATCTCAGGTTACCTGCTCTTAAGAGAGAATGTCTTGAGTAAGAAGAATCTTGGTGACATAAATTTTGAGAGAGGTAGATGGGAATGTTCTGGGGGGAGGCAGGGTGTGTGGGCTGCAAAAGCAGATCAGAGTTAGGCAACTTTGGGTGTGTTAAAAAATATACGTGTATATTCGTTTGAAAAAAAAACCTAACTTAGTCATTGTCTTCCCTGAGCTTAATGGTTGCAATTTTGGGTGTGGTTAATTAAACATCTGAAAGAAATCTCTGCTTACAAAGTAAGGATTATGTTTGCAAATCATCCCATGGCAAAATGCAAACAGAGCAGTGCAGTTGGTGAAGTAGACACACAGCCCAGTTCAGGGTACTTGAATGTGCCGGAGCTGCTCCCTGTCCCAGGGCCACAAAGGAAAGGTGACTGTGAGGAGCATGAGAAGTACCTGGGGCTCTCATCTCTTAGGCCAGGAGCCCATGGACATTCAGTGTAGGAATATCTGGATATTTTTTGTCTTTTTCTTCCAATAATCTTTTTATACAATCCTACAAAACTCAATTTTTGTAAAAAATTGTTCTAAAATATCAGTAACATTAGCTTTCAGGGATCTCTGTCTTGCCTTGATTTCAATGGCACTGATTTTTAAAAGATTCATTATTAGAACCTGACTATTTCTATACTCCCAAGTAAATGTATTTGGGGAAATCTATGGACCACAACAAATCACTGGCAGAAATGCTGATGTCTTCTCTGTAGTTTTCCAATGATTCCCCTACACCTTTGCAGAAAGGACCACACAATCCAAGCTTATTTTGCTAGAACTTGTAGAGCAATTTCAAGGAAATTACAAAGGAAGACCCATTACCCACAAAACAATTGTTTCACTTTCTCATTCATGTGATGATTTGCATCCACCCATCCATCATCCTTCCATCCATCCATCATTTCATCCGGACATTTATGCCTTGTTCTGGGAGGAATAAAGACAGGAATAAAGACATGACTAAGACAAGGGCTTAGTTTATAGCCTGGAGTGAGGAGCCCTGAAGGGCAATAATAAGTTTTGACATAATGCGACTGTAATGAGTTGAGGGGCAAAAGTGGGTGGTGCGCATAGGTATTCAGTGTCAGGGAAGCCACTCAGGCAATTATAAAGGGTTAAACAAAAGCATGACAACAGATATTAAATGAGATGGTGATTTAAGGCAGTCCTCAAAGGGATCTGTACATTAGAACCATGGTGCTTTCAATATTGGTTTTCCTTGCAGGCTTTTTTTGTTATCAGCAATTATTCATTCCCAATAGCATCTCCTCTGCTAGAGCAAAAGAAACAGATCTGCCAAACCAGGACCAAAACCTCTGGAGTTACTAGGTTATTTTCTAAAAATTAGTGTCACTTATGATAATCCCTTGGAAATAATTTTTTTCAGACTTACAAGCATCTCAGAACATTACTTGGTGATTAAATGTCTTTGGATATCCAAGTGAGAATTTCATAAGGATACTGGCGATTCCTCTCTTCTTCCGATAGCTCTGCTGGTGAAATTCCTCTGCAGCGTTTTTCCTGATGCAGCATGAAGAATTTTCCATACATTTCTCCCACCATTGTATCAGATTCTTTGGATCAAATTCTTGCTTGAGGATTGTCCCGTCAATCGGTTTGCACACTTTTAACTCTCCGAGCTGGTGGATGAAAATGCCAAATTTCACAAGATCCACAGAGAGCGAGTCCATGATAGAGATTAGCTATAAATGATTATGGAATCAGTGTGAAAGAATACATTGAAAATAAATTAAGCATTTAAGAGACGATGTGATTTTGAGAATTGAAAGACTGTGCCTCTATCCAAAGGCCTTTTTTAGACAATTAGATCCTGCTACCTTCTCTGGTGGCAAGTGGCATTCAGCTGCCACAGCTGCCATCCAGGTCTCTATTACAAATGCTCCCTGGGGAAAACTGAACCCCTAGAAGGCCACATTGGACAGCAAATTGGTCTTGCAGGCTCAGCCTCAGACACGCAGGTTGGGAATCTTAACAGCATTTTCCAGTTTGAGCAAAGCATATTCTACTACCTGAAAAGTGCTCCAAGGCGAAAAATGGATTAAAATCATAAAATCTGGATTGATGCCACCTTAAGAAGGCACTAACCAAATTCCCTGTCCAGGCAGGAGAAATGCCAGCCCTTCTGAGACGTGTGTCTCTACTGAATTCTCAGTGCTACCACAGAGAGGAATCCCATGAGGTTCCAGGCCACCTGCTTGAGTGACTACTTCATTTTAACTTACATGCATTTTACATATATATGTCTGTATTTATATGGGTAGATAAAAGATATTTCTGCCATTTAAACTGATTAATGTTCTCCATTTAAGGTCAGCTTTTTTTAAATTCCCTGACACCCCAAAAATATTATCAGAATTATGGACACTTAGACTTTTTTTTTTCCTTTAGGCTGGAAACTTTAGTTTCTTTAGAATCTTTTCCATGTTTTCCCTGCATACTTAAAACATGAAGGCTAAGCAAGGCCCAAAGTTTCTGATAACGACCCAACCAAAGCATTTCTGTATGGACAGCACAGAGTGACTCTCCCGAGTCACTGGGTCTGACTCCAGGTGGAGAAAAGAGTGAAAGAACAGCTCTGCCAGGCAGGTGCTGTCCTTTCCAAGTTGTTGTGGGATTAGAACAAACTACTGTTGCTAGATCTCAGGACAGCATTATATGCATATTTGTTATTAAATTAGAATGCATCTGTTTTGGGAATTAAAAATAACTTTACATCTCATAAAACTGTGGATGAGTGGGTCATAAAAATTCCACCGATAGCAGAGTGGGCTGTGGGTTTCTAGCCAAGGGCTCAGTAGAAAGCAAAGGTACCAGGTGGGGCCTCCCTCTGATGAGATGAGCAGGTAGAAAAGAGATGAGTTTTGAAGTTTCTAGAATAGGCAGAAACACTGGGGGAAAAGGTGGTATCTTCATATCTATTGTTCACAGATTAGAAGTCAGTGAAAGGGGGAGGGCCGAGATGTGATTTTTGGAGCAGCAGGGCGCTGGGCTGAGCGGGTGCCTGGGACAGGGCCGGGCTCTGGCAGGAGAGGAGTTGCTGGCAGTGTGCAGGGCAGAGGCTCCCCTTGGCATGAGCAGAAGAGAGATTTGCCTGGGACGGGCCCAAACCTTAGCCCTCCTTCCAGATGCCGAGCGTGTCTTTCCCTGACCCCCCCACTGGCCTTGCCTAGGCGAGGGTGTTGGGAAGGAAAAGAGGGACCCGTGACTGAACTCTGCTCTGGGGGAGTTTTCTGGGGGGCAACCCGAGGCATTCATCAAACGGACACGCTATGACTAGGCTGCAGCAAATGGAAAGTGATCGTCGGGCGCTCTACTCGACAAAGTGCCTCAGAGCTGCAGGGCCAGCAGCTCCCTGTCCCCTCACAGAAGGAAGGCGGTGGGATCTGGAAGCTGCGTGAGTCATCTGGCTCACAATTGGCACTCCATGCAACGTGGGCATGGGCTGTGGACTATACTATACTCTAAGAAACCTATACTCTATACTCTAAGAAACTAAACTCACATTTAGTCAATCGTCACAAATAAGTGGAACCCCAGATGTTTTTGTAAGTTACATGCCATTTCAGAATCATCTGGTGTGTAGCCTCCGCTGATGTGATATTCAGTGACTGCTGCCTCGACTTTCCCAATGCTCGATCTGTGCGCAGTACACAACGTTTACTTCTGTGAGCGTGCAAGGTCCAAGCACGACATCCTGGGCATTAGAAAAGTGCAAGTGGGAGTCCCTTTCACTCCTGGTAAGTGTGGGTGAAGAAGCAGGGGTGCTGGGGTCCCACCTCTGGCTCCCCCATGTACTAGCTGATGACCCCAGGCAGCCCACTCCACCTCTCTGTGTGTCAGTGTCCCCATGTGCAATGATAGAGATAAAACCACTACTTTGCCCAGTGGTTCATCAAGGTCATCTAGAGAGCTTGTTAAAACACAGACTGCCGGGCCCCACCTCGGAGTTTCTGATTCAGTATGCCTGGGCCCGAGAATGTGCATTTCTAACAAATTCCCAGGTGACAGTGCTGCTGCTGGTCCAAGGACCACACACTGAGAACCGTTGATCTACTCACAGGCTGTTGTCAACATCAAAAGAATTCACAAGAAGCCTCATGTTGCAACCAATTAAATAGCTCAGTTAATGTTAACTATTATTGTTAGAGTTGTCTATATTATGGTTATTACTGGGAAAACATGGCAGTGCATTAGAACTTTGCTCTTTTTAATTAACAGGTAATGGGGGTTTTCTGACTGCTGTGTACCACAGCACACAGATCCCCATCTTCTGGACTCGGGGCATCGTGTGCCCAGACCCCTCTCTGGCTGTTCATCCTGAGCTACCAGTTCATGATGAAGATGGTATTTAACCTGCTCCACGTGCACATACTTTTCTCCCGCAGGACAGGTGCCATGTGTTAGATTTCTCTGTGTCTCCTGTAACTCTTAGCATAATGCTTTGTATACAGTAGGGGCTCAATAAATCCCTGTCTTTGGATTTGGAAAGAACTCTAGAGGTCATCTGCTCCGAACTCTTCCAGTGCAGGCTGCCCTCTGGAACTTATTGTACCCGGGTCCCAAACAACCCTAGAGACTCAGCCTCAGGCGTCCGGGTGAGGCTCGGGGGTCTGCGTGTCACCAGCAGCTCCGGGCTCCACGCGGGGTCCTCCGGCCACCCCTACAGAAACACCAAACTGCCCATGGTGACGCACTGCTCCGTTGTGGAATCAATGGATTCGGTCAGGATCCACATACCTAAGAGAAGAAACAGAAGAGAAGGAAAGAGGAGAGGAGGGTTTGAGAGGAGAGGGGCAGGGAGGGCAGAGGAAGCATCAATGTTATGACATGTAGCAGTCGTAGTGAGTGTTGTTGGTGAGACAGTGTGCGTGTGTGTGTGTGTGCAGGGGTGCATGTGTGTGTGTGTGCACCTGTGTGTGTGCGCGCACACACTCGGGGTCCCATCGTAAGATGTCCTTTGTGTGTCCTGGTAAAACAGTTTGAAAGCAGGACAAGCGCATCCCTTCCTGCTGGCGGGAAGAGCACGTGGGAAGCTCGGCGCAGTGCTGGCTGCTGTCTCGCGGTAGGGACCCACCTGTGCCTCTCTCAGAGCAGCGAATGGTTCTGCTCCCTCTTTCCACGCTCTTCAGAAGTTTGCAGAGGGGCAGTGTCCTGGGAGGGCTGGCAGGGACTGGGCTGCCTAACCCGGCCCAGGAAGCTGGTGATGTGTCAGGATGTGGCAACAGGAGCTGTCAAGACATGAGGCAGAGAGGGAGGGAATCCTATATCCAGTGAGCCCCAGCTCAGAGGCCGGCGGGAGGGGACAGGAGTGAGACAGGAGGGGCGGGAGATTCTGTCCTGAGTGGCCCAGTTGCTGTGCTTTGCTTTGTTTTAGGCATCCAGGAGTGCAGTCCTTCTCCCTGGGGCACATCCTATCTCCCGAGGGTGGCCCACACACCCTGAGCTCTTTTCTTCTTTAGACTAAGCACACTGAATTTTAATGGCACAGTTCTCAGTCTGTCACTGCTCTGGTTGACTCAATTGATACTCCCTGGTAGGTTCTATTACAGGACCCTGAACAGGTCATTTATCTGTTGAAAGAGCAACCTCTCCAAGGATAGCAGCTTATTTAACCCTTTTTCTGCCTAACCACCCCCTTTATAATGTTGGCCGTCACACACTTCCTTTCAGCATGGATTCATTGAGCATCACCTGTGTGCCCTGCATGTGCTAGATACTGGGAAAATCCATGCAAAAACAGGACCCTTCCCCCTATAAGAACCAGGCATCTGGCAGAGAGCCAGGCTTGTCACCTGTCATTTGATTCGGAATGAGTTTGTTCAAGACTAGAGGGCTGCGCCAGGCAGCCAGGAGGCAGAGTCAGCACCTGGCACTGGGGACACACACGGTAATTATGGTAATTACAGTAACTACCGTGCTGAAGGAGCAAGCTGACTCTACAGGGAGTCTGGGCTCCTAGGGAAGGTGATATCCCAGCAGAGATTTGCTTCTAGTCCACAGCAGAGTGAGAAGCCACGCAGCTTGTAAGTTAGAGTTGATAAAGCTCTGCATGAGAACCGAAAATCTTCTCTGGCAGACTGAAATCCCTGGGGCTTAGTGCTGGAGTTCTGCGAGGCTTATTTTAGATTCTTAGCAGTATTTTCTGCTCCCTTCTAGATTCCAGGTTCTATCCTGCAGGGCTGAGGCTGCCGGAAGAATAGAGGTCATCTGCGAGGTGGGAGCTTCGGCAAGGTGGGAGCTTTCTATAGCTAAAGCATAACTGTGCGCAGGACGACTCAAGTTGCGACAAGTGTCTCCAAATCCTAACATGTCTGTATTCCAAAGGCCCCAGAAACAGGGAGATCGTCCAATGCCACAGCTCTGCTCATACTTCATCTTGCTCTCTCAGCCTTTCCTTCGTTCCCTACATTAATGTTCCCTTTTCTTTTACGGGCAGTGACTCAACCATCACAAAGTGCAATGCCAGGACTTGGGAAAAGGTACAGCAATCACACTGTGGGGGTGAGCAGAGAGCTCTGCAGACGTTTGAAACTTCAAGTTAGTGAATCACTGAATTTAGGTTGCGTCTAGTGACTTTCCTATCCGCTCACCTTATACTTCCCAAGTAGTAGGTGGTGCTTCCAGTTATCAACATGTTCCCACGGTCAAGAGTAAAACAGGTTGGGCAGCCAGTTCTGGAGAGAAAAAAATAGAAACACAACTTTAAGGGATTTGAGATTTGGGGGTTCAGGTGTGAGGGATGTTCCAGGAAAAATCACCATCCCTTGACTATACAAGTAAGAGACAAAGAGAGAACCATGCCCAGGAAAGAGTAGGATGCTATGAATTTCTTGATTTTTCCTAATAAATGAGGCAGCATGGAAGCTGTCTGCATGTTTAAGAAGTTCCTCTGCTGTCGCTCTTTCTTAAAAGATGTCATTTTAGAGCATTTTTTGTTCTTTTGGTTCCTAAAAGTGTGGTCTAAGTGTGGTCACAGCTATTCCTTCAGTGTCCTCTGAGTAATCTGGGAATTTCTAAACCCTCTGAAGTTTGAAGTTTCTGGGATTCCTGTAGTATTACCTTCGCGTAACCAAAGTGACATACTGAATACTCCTGTCCCTTAAAGTTGTCTCCCCGTGATCCTGGGAAGAACACCAGTTTTCCAAACAACAGGTTCATTCCTCCCATCTTGGCAGAAACCTGCTTGGACCAACAACCAACCCAGCTGCAGCGGATCAATGGGAGGACCAGGCGCTGATTTGGATGCTGCTCTGTCCTCTCTCGATGGTAGTCCTGGGTGAGCAGCAGTGGGTTAGCTGGGGTCACAAGGGTCATGTGCGTATGACCACAGGTCCTTCTCCTTCCAGCCACAGAGGCCAGCTACAAAATCCTTTGCCTACATTTCCCGCAGTCCTCCAGGTACCCTTTCCTTACATTTTTGTCCTTCAAGTCTGTCTTTAGTGTTCATTTTTATGAGGTTTTTTTTTTATCAGCATAGAAGCATAAGTATAAATGTTATAAATAGGCAGTAAACACCTGAAAAAATGTGTAACACCATTAATAATTAAAGTGAGGCTAATCAAAATAACATGATACAATTTTTCTCTAAATCTTCAAAGATCAGAATATATAATACTCAGTGTTGGTAAGGATGTGATGAAATGGGTGCCTAAATACCCAGTTTTTGAGAGTGTGCACTGAAACACTCTTTCTAACAGCCACAGTTTTAAAAGCCTAAAAAATAGACTGAAACTCCACTTCTAGAAATTTGTCCACAGGACAGATTTGGAAATGTGTGCAGATTTGTGTACTAGAGTATTCACTGACATAGTATTTGTTCCCAACAATGGGAATTGGTGAAATAAATTAAAGCATGTCCATTTGAATGAAAGAAACCCATACACATTAAAAATCCCATTTTGAGGCTGGGCGCGGTGGCTCATGCCTGTAATCCTAGCACTCCGGGAGGCTGAGGCAGGAGGATTGCTTGAGCCCAGGAGTTTGAGATTGCTGTGAGCTAGGCTGACACCACGGCACTTACTCTAGCTTGGGCAACAAAGTGAGAGACTCTGTCTCAAAAAAAAAAGAAAAAAATCCCATTTTGAAAAATATTTAACGGCATGGAAAAATGTTTGTGATATACTAGTAAGTGAAAAAAGAAGGATGTAAGATATATATAAAATATGATCCTCACTTTATAAAAATATGTGTTTTATTTATTTATATATTTATACACACCCTAATATCTCTTAAGATTATAAAGAAATCTATTAAAATTTTAATTGTGTATTAAGAAATATTATCCAAATCTTGGGAAAAAGACAAAACAATGACTGCATGTCTTTTCAATGTCTTGTTGGAACACAGTCTAGCAAACCTACTCATTGGTTACCTTATTGTCTAGGGGAATGTTCCTTTGTTTTACTTATTATTTACTATTGATTAGGGCCTAGACTCTATGAAGTTACATAATAACACATAGCTTTTTTCTCCAGTTGAGAATAAAAATTTTTCTACCCTGTAGAAAAAACAACCTCAATGTTACAGCTATTCCCCATAAGCTATTAACCAGTTTTTTACCCAAACATGTGACCTTCTTCATCATTCTTTGAGTGTCTATATATTCAGTCTCTCAAATGCACTCTCGGCCGGCGCTGTGGCTCACGCCTGTAATCCTAGCTCTTTGGAGGCCGAGGCGGGCGATTGCTCAAGGTCAGGAGTTCAAAAACCAGCCTGAGCAAGAGCGAACCCGTCTCTACTATAAATAGAAAGAAACTAATTGGCCAACTGATATATATAAAAAAAAAAAATTAGCCGGGCATGGTGGCGCATGCCTGTAGTCCCAGCTACTCGGGAGGCTGAGGCAGAAGGATCTCTCAAGCCCAGGAGTTTGGGGTTGCTGTGACTAGGCTGACGCACGGCACTCACTCTAGCCTGGACAACAAAGCGAGACTCTGTCTCAAAAAAAAAAAAAAAAAAAAAATGCACTCTCATTCAGTTTTGTCATTCTGATGGTTTCCTCCCTAATGAGTTAAGTAAATCTTTGACATATGCTTACTTAAGATTGGTATGAGAAGCAAGTTTTTAATACAGTATTTTAAAAATACTTTGACAATGGCATATGATGCTATAGTAGTAGATTTATTCAAGATTTTTATTTTCTTTTAACATTCTTCTGTATTTGTCAAAAGTCCATTAAAGGACATGTTTTATACTAAGAAAGAGCAAAAAAGTACACAAGTATGCATGTGTGTGTATAAATGAATTCTACACTGATTTGTTAGGTATTTCTTCCCTAACTCCTTACCCAGGTAAAGGGCCTACCTTCCTGAGGACGTCTAAAGACGCTTGCTTTGTATGTGGAGGGCACACCTGACCCAGAGGACATCTAGGAAAGGTGTTGTGATGCTCCCTGAACCCGGTCTGCCTTGCCGGGTGAGGGCAGAGGCGTCCATCTTCATAGTCAGCCGAGCTGGGCACGCGGTGACTTCTTCATGGGAGCGAGGACACCTGTCTGACTGGGCTGCCCCTTCATTCATGGAAACTGAGTCCCATGGCAGGGACAGGGAAGACAAGGAAAGTCTGCAATGAGAGGCTCGGGGGAGGGCAGAGGAGGACCACATGGGGAAAGGTCGCAGCGGGAAAGAGCCCATTCCCGTTCCCACTGGAACAGGATGCTCTCAGAGGAGAAGGGAGCTGGGTCAACCTGTCCTTTGACTCATTCCGATTTTATGTCTTATCTTCTCCACCTAACTCACCTCATTTCAACCCAGAGCAAAGTGCTGAAATCTCTGGAGCTGCTGGGCGGTTGCTTAGAAATGCAAATGAAGATTTCTGGCAGTTTCCTAGTTTCTTTTTTCTTTTCTTTTCTGTTTTTTTTTTTTTTTTTGAGACAGAGTCTCACTTTGTTGCCCAGGTAGAGTGAGTGCCTGGCATCAGCTAGCTCACAGCAACCTTCAAACTCCTGGGCTCAAGTGATCCTTCTGCCTCAGCCTCCCGAGTAGCTGGGACTACAGGCACGCGCCACCATGCCCGGCTAATTTTTCTATATATATTAGTTGGCCAATTAATTTCTTTCTATTTATAGTAGAGATGGGGTCTCGCTCTTGCTCAGGCTGGTTTCGAACTCCTGACTTCTAGCAATCCGCCCGCCTCGGCCTCCCAGAGTGCTAGGATTACAGGCGTGAGCCACCTCGCCCAGCCAGTTTCCTAGTTTCTTGCTCTCCTTTGCCTAGTTTAGTGACTGGAAAGGACTCAGTGAAAAATCCAGACTTTGAGCACCAGCTCTTTATTTTTTTTTTATTTTTATAAAAATTTTCTTAATATTTATTTTTCCCTTCTTTTCTTTTTTTTTTAACAGCTGACATGTACAGATGTCGTTAAAGAGCACCAGCTCTTTAAATGCCAGCGTGGAGGAGACAGAACCGCCCAACTCAGTAAGCACCTGGCTGCAGAGGGGCTGTCATCCTGTCCCCTGGGCTCTGACGGGTGGACAGCCAGGCCTCTCGCTCGGGCGTGTGTGGGACGTGCACGTGGCTGCCTGACTACACGCTGTCTCTAAGGAGACGACAAGAACCGATAATACGTCTCCCTTTTGCTGCGCTCTGTGCCCTCAGATACCAGGTCAGAGTGTTGACTTTTGTAAAAGGAAGACAGGCGGAAGAGGAGGTCTCTGCTGCCCCCTGTTTGGCTGGGCCCCTGTAGCCCTGGAACACTTGGAAGAGCATGCCATTCAGTTTCAGGAATTTTATTATATTGAGAATCGCATGCGTTAATCTGTCCTGGGTATCATCAAAATTTTTAAGTGATTGCCATCTTGATATGAAAGTGGGTCATCTTGTTGCTGCTTTAACTTGCATTTTAAAAATTCTGAGTGAGGCTCGATATAGTTTAATGGTTTGTATTTATTTTCCCAGTTCTCTGCCAGTGGGTAGACTTTGCTTATTTTTATTTTTTTCCTATTGATTTATAAAAGTTTTTGCTGTAAATATGTTTCTTATTTATATTTTGTTCTAAAGTTTTTCTCTTTCATATAGTCAAATTTGTCAGTCTTTTCCTTATGACTTCTGGGTTTCATGTTCCTCAGGCTATGTTTTTTTAAAAAATTCATGCATATTTTTGCCTAGTAATTTTACACCTTTAGTTTTTAAGGTTTGAAATTTAACCAATATGGAATTTATTTTCTTTGTAAGGTGGAAAATAGAAGTACAGTTTCATGATTTTTTCTTTGTTTTTAAAATGGCTTGCTTTCATAAATACTCTATTTTATTACACTGATTTGAAATGCCTTTTTGTTTCTAATGATGTTTCATTTTCTGGTCTATTTCTGGACTACCCTGTTCTATTGGTCTATTTGTGTCTTCCTGTATCAGCACCTATAATGTTTAATTACTAAAGATATATATTTTATTCTTATATAGGGCTAGTTTCCCCTCATTACTATTCTTGTTTTGGAAAAATGTCTATTTTTACCTTTCTAGATAAACTTTAAAATCAAGTTCCCAAAAGCTTCTATTGGTATATTCCTTGGGAATGTTTTTCATTTATAGATTAAGAGAAAATTGATATTGTTACATTTTGTGTCTTCCTGGCTAAGGCCTTTCCCTTTATTTAAGTCTTTTTCAAAAAAGTTCACCAGTAGAGTTTAAAAGTTTTCCTCATGTAGACCCGGGATATTTCTTGTTGATTTTATTCCTAGAGATTGATTTTTTTGGAAACTGTTATTTCATTGTCTTTTCTGAGTGTTGCTTGTATAGAGCTTTTCCACAGCTGATCCCTTCCCAAAAGCTGACACTATGCTAGAAATATGAAATTAAAAAGCAAAGCCACATCTAAAGACAGTTGCAGCTTGACTCGACTGTTGTATTCTTCCAGAAAATGTACTGACCTTGTATGACTGTCTCCTTGAGGTATGGCCAAAGGGAAGTCTTCTAGGACACTTAAGAGTTTCTTGAAGATGTCAGAATATCCATTGGGATCCTGAAGTAAAGATGCTTTCATTATTTTAATGGAAATCATAATATTAATTATGAAGATATAGTTAATTCATATAAAAACATTTTTTTGAGACAGTGTCATGTTTTGTTGCCCGGGCTAGAGTGCCATGGCGTCAGACTAGCTCACAGCAACCTCAGTCTCCTGGGCTCAAGTGATCCTCCTGCCTCAGCCTTCTGAGTAGCTGGGACTACAGGCTCACACTACGACTCCTGGCTAATTTTTTCTATTTTTAGTAGAGACGGGGTCTCGCTCTTGCTCAGGCTGGTCTCGAACTCCTGACCTCAAGTGATCCTCCCATCTCGGCCTCCCAGAGCGTGAGGATTACGGGCCTGAGCCCAGCTGACATAAAAACATTTTTAAAATCTACATTGCTGCTTAGTCTTTAGACTTTTATTTTCATTGCTGTGGGGAAGTTTATATGAGTTAAAGGAGCTCTTTGGACTTCATCCTATAAGGGATCTCAGAAAAATAACTTGAAAACAGAACTGTGGTTTGGTCAACACATGGTGCTGCTTTAAGCTTCCCAGCCTGAGAGAGGCTGGAAGCCCCTAGAATAAACTCTCTTCCCCAGGACATCTGAACACATCTCTACCCTCATCTTTAACTGCTGTGAAACATCTAAGTAGAATTTGAAGAGGAAACTGATGTGAGCGTTCTTTGGTATCACGCCATTCCTCCAGGGGCGGTTTCATCTAGAAACAGCCTGCAAGCTTAATTTATCATTCTTTCATCCTACTTCTAGATACAAAAAATAAAATGCAACCAATTTAGTACAGTAAGGGATAAACAGGTATGCAATATTTACCAGAAAGTTAATTTTAAAAAAACAAAGGTGGATAAAATCCATTTTTTTAAAAATAGGAATATTATAGCACATAACTGGGCCCATGTGCACACTGTTTTATTTAAAATCTTGCTCAATAATCTCATACACTTCCTCTACAATCCTACAGAGAAGAGACACAGGCCTCCCCCTTTGATAACCATGACTGTGACTAATCAAGGGGTAACAGGCTTTATTTTGTATGAGGTGTAAGTGTATAAATCACCTTCCGATAAGCTGCTGACAGGATTTATTTGCACCGACTGCAGTGGGCCTCACTCCTCCATATGGGACACTGAAGTCCACGACGGTGTTGGTGCCATCTTTGAAAAGGACTCTCGTTCCAGCATTCACAATCGCAAGGGCAGTTTGGGGCCTGACACAAACTCCCACTGGCATACAACATGAAGGAGTTTTTGTTTTGAAAAATTTGAAACCTATAGAAAAATCTCAAAGACAGTACAATAGATACCTATATACCCTTCACCTAGATTCACCGATTTACCAATGGTTAACATTACACCACATACACTCACTCTCACTTTAGCTAGCCACACACACACACACACACACACACACACACACACACGCATAGAGGTATGCAGAATTTTAGCTGGATCATTTGAGAGGTAATCATTGACATCATGACACTTCTCCAAGCATTTTCATATGTAACTCCTAAATACAAGGGCTTTCTTCTATATAAACTCAACATTGCTGTCATGATGATGAGACTTATAATAATGAGTGTTAAAACAATATTGTTATTTAACATCCATTCATATTCATTTTTGTCCAGTTATAGAAATAAGACCCTTATGGTCCCCCGTGAGAGCCATGAAGGTGTCATATTCTTAGTTCTCTAGCTCCTTTACTCTAGAAAAGTTCTTCAGCCTTTTTTTGTCTTTCATGACACTGACATTTTTGAGAGTCGTAGACTAGTTGTTTTGCAGACTGTCCCTTAGTTTGGGTCTATCTGATCCTTTCTTTTTAAAAAAATATGTATCTTAATTTCTTATTTTTTATTAGTATTATATTTTGTAGACATGGGGTCTTGCCATGTCATCCGGGCTGGTCTCAAACTCCTGGCCTCAAGTGATTCCCTCACTTCCCACCTCGGCCTACCAAAGTGCTGGGATTACAGGTGTGAGCCACTAGGCCCCTGATTATGTCTCTGTGAACTGATTTATTTTAAACTTTGCAGGGTGGAAAGAACACTACGTGGGTGATAAGGTATAGGACCTGCCTCTTCGTGGGCTGCAGAATCACCCACTCATTGCTATACACACTCTTCTGAAAACTCATGAGCCTAGATAGAATATGCTCTGTTCTCAGAACATCATCTCCTTTTTCAATGGCAAATTTTCCTGAAGTCCTAGAATCCCTAAAATTAACCAGCAGAAACTCTGCCTATTGGATTCTGTTGCTCAATGGCAAGTTATCAACAGGAAATCTTTGTTTAATTTTATTCTTCTCCTAATTTATATTCAACCATATCTCTTAATTGTAGCTAAACATTCAATATATAAATACAGGGGGGCAGGAAACATCTAGCAATATTTTTGGTAAATGATGGTGATTATTTATCTGTCCTTGGTGCTCAGTAGACTTTTAGTAAAGATCGAATGAGTGAATTATCCTGGGGGAAGATGTTAGCAAGTGTGCCGCTCTTCTGTGTTCTGGCAGTGGCCATCAGGGTTCATTTATTGGTCCAACTGATCTGTGGCTCAACAACTGAGATACATAGTAACATCCACAATTGTCCAGGTTTCTAATTAGCAAACAAATATTGCCATTAAACAAAAAGCAAGTCAAAGCCATCTTTCACCCATCAATCAATACATGAAATGCTCATATGGTAACTGTATCTTAGTAGGATCAGAACTCATTTGGTTCCTTGTGCATGTCTCTGAAGTTCTTATTAATTTGAAGAAAACATTGACCTTGGATAATAAGTCCAAAATGAAAGATTTTATAAATTATTCTTGGCCAGGCACAGTGGTTCATGCCTATAATCCCAGCACTTCGGGAGGTGGAGCAGGAGGATCATTTGAGCCCAGGAGTTTGAGACCAGCCTGGACAACATAGTGAGACCCTGTCTCTACGAAAAGTT